ATCTACACAATTGAATTTTAGCTCATTAAGCATTATTTATAGAAATAAAAAACATCTGTGAATCATGAATTTAAAAAATTTTCTATTTAGAATTTTAAAACATGAATTTTAAAATTGGCCATGCTATTATTTTCCAGAACAAAACAACGCGTACGATGAAGTGACTGATATTACGCCTTCTGGTGCTCAGAACAACGCACGTGTCACTGGCAATATAAATTCGTATGATGTCATCGATCTAGACGATGTTGGGAAACAGACATCACATTATTTAGATTTAAAGTAAATTAAAAAGATTACACTTGCCATGTTGTGAAGATGCCTGGTTTTTATGAAAGGCGCATCTATAGGTGTAGGTGTGGGTGTAGGTGTGGGTGTAGGTGTGGGTGTAGGTGTAGGTGTACGTGTACGTGTACGTGTACGTTTACGTGTACGTGTATAGATGTAAGTGTGTAAATGTGTAGAGGTAGGTAGGTGTGAAGGTGTGTAGGTGTGTAGATGTAGGTAAGTATGTAGGTGTGTATGTGTGTAGGTGTGTAGAGTGTAGGTTTAAGTGTAACTATTTATTTACATTATTATTATTTTAAAGCTTGCAGTTTGTAACGTTGATTAGGGAGTTAAATATACTTAGATCATAGCGAGAATATATCTTTTAATATACAAGTTAACACCACTATCAATAGATTTTAATTCAATGCTTATTTAAGTTTGTGATATATACACATTTTTTCCCCGATAAACAGATACCTAGTTTTGTTGTTTCAGACACGATTTACATATACATTTTGTATATTGTAGACAAAAGTACCAGCAACCAAATCTAGACCTACCACTTGGTTTTTTGGCGTTTATTTACACAACTAAAACCAAACTTATTTATAGCGCGTTATCAGCAAGCGTTGACTCGGAAATTATTAAAGTATCAAAACATTGAACAGTTACATAATAAGAAATGTCTACTCTTAATGTAAAGCAAGAATATTTTCAGACCGTTTATCTATATATATAATTATCTTCTGGGAGACGCTAGAAAACAAGCTGTAAGCGCGCTCCCTACCACCCCTACCCCTACATGGTCTGTTGAGCTGTGGTTCACGCTAAATGTTTACAAGCAAGCCGGGTTTAGTGACGACTATTAGGGGCAGATAATATAGTTTGAAACGATTTTAAACGTAGGGGTAACTAAGTGGAGTTTACTTTAACTGAGGGGGGGGGGGGGGGTTATCGTCCTTAACGAGCTACTTATAGTGTTTTAAAGAAATATTTTCAGTGGCAGCGTTGGTACTGTCGAATTCACAAATTATGAATTACTGAAAAGTAGAAAATAAAACAACTAACTAGCGGCGTATGATATGCCGCGGGTCGGTCTCCCAAGTCCCCCACAGAACAGCGTGGGGGAGGAGAGGTGCAAGACAGTCAGGAACAAAAAGAGTCAGATATCGCTTTTGACTTGAAGCGGCGGCCTGACGAGGTTTCGGAATAATGTCGCTGATCCGACCAAACCCACGTTAAGTGGATGCGGGACGGCCGGGGGCAGATAACAGCCGCTAGAGGTTTTTCGATCTGAAGAGATACCCCCCACGATCAAGCCGGGTACCAGGCGGTGGGACGACGTCCTGCGTCTGGTGGGAGGGGAAGAAAAGCCTGGTGAGAAAACCGCGGTTTTAGCGACCAATGTGTGGGGAGCCCTGGTCCTTTAACGGGGGCCGGGGCTTACTACATTGAGGCCTGCCTGGCTAATGGAAGTCATCCTTCTGAGCCGGTTTCCGCATAAGAAGAAGAAGAAGAAGAAGTATAAATCTGTACCGACAATTATATCAAACCACTTTAATTTTCTTTAAATTAAACAATGATCAATAGGGAAAAATAACGTAAATCTCACCTGAATGTCTACATTTAACTATTAACAGTATGACACTACACACAAAGGGTATGAGTAGAAGTCCGGCGGTCAGGCCGATCCATTGGCTGTTGTTGTTGTTATGTGTCGTTACAATAACACCATCTTGGGGGCTCTTGAACGCTATAGAGATAATAACCATATAGGTGGAAATTTTTTTCGTAATAGAGCTCATATAAAGAGAATTTCACTCGCGGTCACTTTTTAGCCCTCGTCGAGGGCTTTGATTGAAACCGACAGTTTTTCCTATGGGTCAAACCATTTACCTAAGAGCATGCAAAAACTTAGCCAGATGTAAAACAGTAAGTGCCCTAAAATCCGTTTTGAAATCACCCTCTGTTTTTCCCATAAAATACAAAGATTATATAGGGAAATACGACTGGTCAGTTTTAACCCATTTAACGAATTTTCCCGGACATGGCCAGTTTTTTGTGACACCCCAAGTCGTTCTCCTACCACCTCACAAAATTTCAAGGGGGGGTTATCGGAGGAAAATATATTTTCGTAATAGAGCTCATATAAATAGAATTTCACTCGCGGTCACTTTTTAGCCCTCGTCGAGAGCTTTGAGTGAAACCGACAGTTTTTCCTATGGATCAAACCATTTACCTAAGAGCATGCAAAAACTTAGCCAGATGTAAAGAAGGTAAGGGCCCTAAAATCCGTTTTGAAATCACCCTCTGTTTTTCCCATAAAATACAAAGATTATATAGGGAAATACGACTGGTCAGTTTTGACCCATTTAACGAATTTTCCCGGACATGGCCAGTTTTTTGTGACACCCCGGGGCGTTCTCCTACCACCTCACAAAATTTCAAGGGGGGTCGTTGGAGGAAATTTTTTTTCGTAATATAGCCCATATAAGGCGCCGGTCAGTCTAGGTCAGTTTTGACCCCCTCCTCGTAGACTTTTCGGCCAACCGTCACCGGCCCTCGTGTTCTATCGCCTCAAGGCACCATCGTGCGATATTTGACGCGCCTCCGGCGCCGGGAATTGCCCTGTCGGGCACCTGACCACTTTGCTTTATATATATATAGATGATTAGGGCCTTCTCGTCATTTGATAACGTAGACCAAAGCAAACACTTCACTCTAATAACGGTAAAAAAAATCATCACAGAGCCCTTACATTGTTTGATAAGCTAGGCTAAAGTGAGTACATCAGTTTTGACAATGATAAATAACTTATATACGAGTATTTAATGGTAGTTTTTGTGTTAGCAATATAAGGACAATGTCGTAAACTAAGTAGTCTTGATTTCGTTCCAGCTAGTAATCTGTTGAAAAAGTCAGTACCCAACTTTCTACGTGTCACTCATGTGTAGGATAACTTAAAGGACGTAGAGATTTTAAGTAAACATAGTCAGTACTTAAGAAATATAGAAAGCCTCTGCTTCGTAATATGATTATGTTTAGACAGGGTCGCAGTTCAGGACATTAATGTGACTACTTTATGTCTTGTAAATTAACCATATACTAACCAACAAGCAAACTATTTAGTTATCAACTTACAACTAAAAGTAGGCTACAACGTTATAGAATCAGACCTAGAGTATTTACTGAAGATGAATTAGAGTTCATGTGACATCAGTGTATACATTAATTATACCGTTTTCTCGCCCGGCCGCCTTCCTGTAATTGCCAACTACGAACTCTAACAAAAGTTCTCACCTCGCAACTTTCGCACGTTAATCGTCGTGTTCTACTGTCCTACTTTCAAAGAAACTACTTTATCTTTTATTATCTGATCATCAACATTTAAAAACTCCGCCTTTTAATCTCATAATATCGATCAGCTACAAGACACCCGATAGTCACATTTGTTAAAGCACATCTGGTGAATGCGTTGTCTAGTGTTTGAACCCTCGCTTCATAACCTGAAAGTCCCGAGTTCGGTACTCGAACTATTGTACATGCTCAAACCAGGTCGTGCGATACAACCAAGGAGGAAGTGACAACCTGGTGGAAACCAACTGATCTAGAGACCGAACCAGATCTCCTTGATTTCTTATCTCCATGTAGTATGTAGTAAGTATCCTATAAATCAACCACTCCCGTATATAAGACAGACCAATACACATAGTACGCCTTACTTCAATTTAGGCCTATGGGCCTACCATGCTATCTCATAAGTCCGCTGTTTTTAATGGGCTACTTAAAAGTAAAAACGTACGGATGTTCTTTAAATTGTTTTTTTTTAATTTCGCTTTATAAATAAATTATATTAAATGTTTCAGTTTTGCTGATTCACTTCTCTATAACATGGATCAATATTTCATGCTCAATACTAATAATGATGTCGTTTGAAACATATTCTATTTTCATTACCTCATTGGCATTTAATAAAAGCAAAGTGTATCTTAATACAGGTGGTGGTGACTTAAGTCGCCTGACACTTCTACAGGCGACTTCTCTTGGACTTAAACTTACACTCAGACACCCGCCATCACCCATTACGATCTTTAGAACTCGACCTAGATACAATTATTATATGTGTATTTCTCTTTATTAAAAACGTGTGTACCAGCCGCGCGCGTTGCCACATATACTTCTACGAATATAGTGACTCAACAATTTTACAAATAAGTGCATCAACGCGATACTTACTAACCGTGTATTTTTAGACATTGTTTTCTAGTAAGGAACTATTTGAATGTAAACTAACCAGGGGTATTTGTTGGATCTTAGTAGTTAGGTCGAGGGTTTGTCCTAGGTGGTAGTTAGACGCTGAGGAATTCAGGGATATATATATATATATATATATATATATATATATATATATATATATATATATATATATATATATATATAAATTATATATATATATATATATATATATAAATGTGTATGTGTTTGTATATGTGTGTATGTGTGTGTGTATGGTTGTGTGTGTGTGTCGTATGTGTGCGCGCGCTCTTATGTATTGCTAGAACAGATGGACTTACGGTTCATTTATTATGAAAAAAGATTATCATGAGTGTAAAGAACAGGTCGGGCGTCTAGGATTAGGTATTTAGAACGATCCTTCTGAGAGACTAAGAGTTATTTTTAGTTAAGGTCACGCAAGAATAATCTAACTGCAAGGTCTATTGTAACGCTGTTAGTTAAGACGTTTCAATCTACAACAGTACTTGTACCCTTGACACTAAACAGACAGTGTGTTTGATTACGTCAATTGGTAAGTTGGTTTTAAATGTTCTACCAAATACATTACATAACTCTTAATTAGATTACATTATATAGTAAGTAGGATATAAACAGCTAACGATACATAGTGTCGTACAGCTACATTGTTGTTCGTTAGGCTGTTATCACAATAGATTATGAGCTATCAAGGGAATTTATTTCTCTAACTACAGCAAATTATAACTGAGCTACATCTATCATATGCTATCAGAGGCGTAGCGATGGGGGGGGGGGGGGCAGGGGGGACATATGTCCCCGGGCGTCGACCTTAGGGGGGCGCCAAAATGGGTTGTAAAAACAAATTAAATGTTATTTTAGCTGCATTTTGCAGTTTAAGAAGGGGTGGGGGGGGGGGTGCAAATCGAAAGTTTGAGGGGGGGTACACATCGAAAAGTTGAGAGGGGGGGGATGCAAATTGAATATTTGCTCCCGAGGGGGCGCGAAATTGAAAGTTTGTCCCCGGGCGCCGGGAAGGGTCGCTATGCCTCTGTATGCTATACGACAGGTTTAGGTTTTCGTGGACTGTCTTCATACTATAACCAAAAGGGATTAAAATGCAAACTATAAATAGAATAGTAAAAAAATTACCCATTTTAAACTGTTTTTCTATATTTATTAAAACGTATTCATTTCAAAATTTTAACGCCTCTTAAACCATAGCCTATATTTGAATAAGTATTACAACATTTTAAACAATTAATTCTTTTAAGTCAGTGAAAAGAGAACATCATGTTTGTTAAGTTGAAAACTCGTTTAGTTATTCAACTGAAAACTAACATATTTTAAATTGTCTTATTCCTCATTCTTAATTGTAATATTAGTGGGGACTTCTTCCAACACATTTCTTACGTGCCGAAACGTTAACATTGTTATGTCCCTTGACTGTTTTTCAGGCTGCTTTTCTTAGTACATTTAATTTGCTTCAATTGCTTCTGTCCACACAAAAACCAATCACAAGGCAGCATTTTCTTGAGTTGTCTCCTAAAGAAGCTGCGTTCCCCAACTAACGGTTCTCTTCTACCCAAGGGTAAAAAATCTGGGAACTTTTGCAGTAAACAATCAAACGTTCCGACGCCCGGCCATACCGTTATATTTAAATATCAAAACGTATGATAACGTTAAAATCAGTTGCTTTAAACATATTTTTCTTTTCAATTACTTCAGGCTATATATAAAAATGAGGATCAAGAACTTCAACTCTGACTGGTTTTTTGTGTGGGTCGTTCAAAGTTTGTCTTTCGCAATTTGCGGTATAGTATTTCAAAAATAATGGGAGTTTAATTATACACGGGTAGTTTTTTAATCAGATGACACAAACACTTAAGTGTCTGGGATTAAGGCTCCGGACAATATACAAACTGACCTACATATTGTGTAAAACATGTACTTGAAATAATACTTTCAGAATAAAATAGATAGTTGTAATGTTTTGTTTCTCATATAAATATAAATATATATATATAAATATATATATATATATATATATATATATATATATATATATTTTTATATTTATATATATATATATATATATATATATATATATATATATATATATATATATATACATATATATATATATATATATATACATATATGTATACATATATATATATATATATATATATATATATATATATATATATATATATATATATACATATATATATATACATATATATATATATATACATATTATATATATATATATATAAACATCATCTGGATTACAGTTGCAGATACCTGGTTTGGTAGCAATCAACAGTTTCTGTGTCGATGTACCGACAACAAATGTTTACCTGATGGAACTTGTGCTGATGGTGCCAGTTGTTTAAGTGAATGGTTTGGTCCGTCTTGTCAATATCGTGAGTAAAATACGTTTATTAATGTTACCAGGTGTTTATTAAGTGAATGGTTTTAATCCATCTTTCTAAATGTGAATGAAATAATCTTCTTAATGAAGCTAAGTTTGCTATGAATACAATTCTATTACACAGAGAATCTTGTGACAACAGCTACTATACAACCAAACAACGCTCTGGCAAGTGTTACTGATGATACCCAATGTAACGTTGACCCAGGCAACCAATACATGCAATTGACTTGGAATAATTTACATTTCTTTTCATTTTTATGGATGCGTTTTAAAACACAGAGTATGTTGCACTTAATTTGTATGTACTTTTTATTTTAACTGCAGCTTTTAATTGCCAATATAAATTACAACCTTTGATGTTGAAACAAAGTAACTACATCATAATTTAAAATACCCACACCCGTATCTTTTTCAACCCAACTCCCAAAACCTTATCCTTTGTGTTGCCGAAAACTTTCTTTTAGATATTTTCACAAACATTCAAACCTATGTTTCTTATTTCTTTTTACAGTTAGTAGTGAAAAACTAAACATCTTTTTCATAATAAATGACGCACCTGTCAAGAATATTCAAGTGTTTAAAATAAATAACGTGACTGTTGAAGTACGCAGCCAAAATATTTCTATGATAAACAGTATAAAGATATATGGCGACAACTTTCAGGATCTTTGTTCTCTTTATGTTAACGGAGGCGAGTACATATAATGTAGATTTATTTTATTTTGCTTTATTTAGGCAAGAATTAAAATAACTTTAAAAAAAAACGAGAACATTAATATTTTTCTTTATTTAAATTTTTTTTTTTTATGAATACTCCAAAATATTTTGATAGCTTATGAACTTATGATTAATACATAGGCCTACTATTTACACATTCAGGAAGAAATGTTGCATTAAAGCAAACTACATCACAAGACAGCTACTATCATGCTGACTTTCCATCAAATAATGCTGTAGATGGCAACAGAGATATTAACTGGTATACAGGAACATGTATCCACAGTGTTGAAACATATCAGTATCACTACTGGACTGTACAGTTTGACAAAGAATATTTAGTCAACAGATATGTCTTGTACAGTAGATCTGATCAAAAAGTCATTAGCTGTAAGAGAATATTTATTGAATACATTATGTTTTAATATGTCAAGTTTATTAGTAGACTACAGATATTTAGTCTTAATGCGTATCTATTTGGCTATATATAATATATCAAATATAAAAACCTTTATAATAAACATCTTTTAAATGCACCGAAAATAAGAAAATAACACAAACTCGCGCTCTCTATTTAAAGTTTATGCCGCTAATGAGATCTCTTATATATTGTATCGATCGAGGTGTACGTTAATCACTCTTTGTCAGAGTTTCTTCCAGGCATCTCTTCGGGGGGGGGCAAAGCCCCCCCGAAAATTTTTTACCGCCCCCCCCCCCCCCCGAACGAAATGAAATTTATATAATTTATATAGAAAATATATATTTTTAACAGTGTCCGCCCCTCGAAGAAAGTCTACCGCCCCCCCCCCCCCGAAAATTTCAAGTCCCCCCCCCCCCCCCCGGAGAAAAAAGTCTGGAAGAAACACTGCTCTTTAAAATAGTAAAGCATACTTCTGCGATTGCCCAGGCATCAGAAAATTAGGGGGGTGTTCTCTGGAGCAAGGGCGCCGCATACAGCCCTAGGCTCTGTTTAATCATCGTATGTCGCGTGCCACCGTATTAATATTGTACTGTGCTCTTTAAAACTAACGTAGGTGCCATAGTGAAAACAAGATAGCTCAGGCGCCTAATCGCAACCTGCGGGGCGCCGGAAGACGCGCATAATTTGATTTATGGAGCGACTATACCAACGCAATATGTCCATAGGTAATTTCACTCTTTAAAGAAAACGTAGACGGAATAGCGCTCACGGATGAGCCCGTGGCGCAAAGTTACCCACTGCCTGGGGCTCCAGGGGACGCGCCTGATTCAATGACTTTTTAGACGCCATACGCACAGGGGAGCCCGGGGCGATTCGGGTCACGCAATCACCGGGACGCCGGCGGCAGCGCCTGTTACAGTTTTCCCGCTTAATATAGTAGCACACCTTATCCGCTATACACGACGCCCAATTAATGGTTAGCTGCTCTTGAACTCTGGGCGCCGCCAAACCGTGTATTGGGAAAAATGGCATCCCTCCGGGTGCCGCCCAGAATTTTAATTTTTTTAGCATAAGGCTTCTCGGAAGTATTTTTATTAACTCTCCAAAGTTTAACGGCACGCGGATGAATGCTGTCAAACCACATGCGATTTTTATATTATTAACACGTTTTTCTTAACTCAGCTTCGCGTTTATTTGTTTGTTTGTGGGTTTGTTGTTAAAATTGACATCGAAAATTAGCCCACTTCTGATTGCTCTAGAGATCTGAAATTAGGAATGCAGGCTATTTTCGCCTAACAATTTCAGATGCAATCATAAAAACTAGCAATTAGAGACCTAAATTAGCTTAATTAAATTACTCCCTTTCTCTGTTTAAAGCGTATCGGTCGCTCAAGATATTTAGTCCGTGTATTTTTAAACACTTAGTCAAGTCATACTTAATCAAGTCATTAGATAAAGTAGAAAATAAACTATATAAAAAACTTTTTAAAAACCACGTTTTTCATGTGTAGCAACGGACTAAAAAGGAGAAAATAAAATACTTAAAAAAACTTTAAAAAAAACCACCTTTTTCTTGTGGACTAAAAAGTAGAAAATAAATGTTTCTTTTGTGCTTCCTCGAGCTGTGCAGGTTCTTGTGATGACTGACAAAAAACGTGGGTCGGCAGATGGGTCGGGAACTTTGATGCCGAACGTACCCACGTTTTTTGTCAGTCATCACAAGAATCTGCACAGCTCGAGGAAGCACAAAAGAAAAATTCATTTTCTACTTTTTAGTCCACAAGAAAAACGTGTTCTTTAAAAAGTTTTTTTTAAGTATTTTATTTTTGTTTATGTTAACGTATATAGAGAATAATCGAATCCCACGTTGCTGGGGCGCCGCCCTGGAGAAACGTTTTTTTTTTTTTTTTTTTTTTTTTTTACAGAAACCTCTCCAGGATTATTCTCAACAAATTACACATTTTAATGGCAATAGGATGGACAAAACCAACAAACCTACAAACAAAAAACAAACGTCTTCCCCCTCCCCTCCCCTCCCCTCACCCCCCCCCCCCCCACCCCCACTCTCCGAAATATAATGAAATATATATTTTTGTAGAAAATATATACTTTTACTAGTGACCGTACCCAGCCTCCCCGGAGAATTTCGTCCGCCCAGCGAAAATTTTAATTGCTTTAGAAGATCACTTTTGGAATCTACGTATTATTTTACCTCAAATGTGTACATTTAATTTTGAAAATACGTTTCTTTATTCTTACGTCTTAAGGGATGAACGATGTCTCGTGTTGTATGAATCGTCTCCGAAACTTCACCTTAGTGAGCAGGGATAACTCTGGTCAAACAGTTTTAACGTACACAGAGACTGCAGACCAGCCTCAGTTCGTTTATACCGTAACATCCGATAGACTCCAGGTTTCCAACGTTACAGTTGAAATGGCTGATAATATCATCAACTTTTGCGAATTTGAAGCTTATGGTGGTACACAATTTTTTATTATTTTTTTTCACTCTTTAAATTAGCTGAAGCCTTTAAAGATTCTTCTGTTCCCATAAGTGCTGTAAATGGTAAAATAAGTAAATCATATTTTCACACCATTCATCCTTGGACGAAATTAAAAACAATTACATTTACAATACACCCACAATGCCCCCTCCCCCATTCTCTCCTCCCCCAACCTAATTGCATATGCCTCCCCCCCCCCACACACACACACTCACCAGGAAAGTATAGTCTAAAAATATAATTGCATTAATGTATAAAACATATATTAACGTTTTCATTCTAAAACGTAATCATCATTTTGATATTCGATGTTTTAATTGATACATTCAAATTATGAGTAAGATTAAATTTCTGCAATTTAATTGAATAATTTCAATGTGTCACAGTTTTATTTGCTTTATATTTACATATTGAAATTATCGTTTATTTTGCAAGACATACATGTATCAAATAAAATTATCATTTGTGTTAACTATTTTAAAATACCACATATACACCACTTTAACTTAGTTATCGAGTGGTAGAACACACAAAATATGAAAATTTAGATTAAGTCTCAAACTCAATATCTGTCATAATGTGTACCGGATTCAAGAAAGTAGAGGCGCCTCGAAAAAGTGCTGACCACATATATATTCATAAGTTTAGGTCAACTATCAACTTTAGATCTTGAACTGCTGTTTATGTGTTTTCTGTATGTGTGTTGTTTGTTCAAATGTCACACATGAGGGATATAGTTAACAAAGTAAAAGCCATGTTACATTTTTGTCATTATGTTTTTTGTCTGTTTGCTTTCACTAAATTAACAGACTCCATCTGCCCACCCGGCAAATTTGGCCTAGAATGTAACAAAGACTGTCGATGTAGAAATGACGAGCCCTGCTTTACAGACACAGGAACTTGTTCTTCAGGATGTGCTGCAGGTTATACAGGGATGGGATGTCAGACACGTACGTTGGTAGAAATGTGTTGTTAATTTTCTTTTCATATTTTTATTTATTTGTATAAATCTTGCGTTTTACCGGCTTGTATTAGTGTGAATACATGTGATCCTAGCAAGTTAAGTTAGTTAGCCCTTCATCCACCATGTAAATCATCATATCACCTATTTATGTTTGGGTCTGTTTGGTTTTGTTTTTACTCTAGCATGTAGTCCAGGAACATGGGGTGTAGACTGCTTCAACACGTGCAGCATTAACTGTCTAGATATGACGTCATGTGACCGAATAACTGGAGCCTGTGTTGGAGGTTGTGTGGAGGGTTATAAAACACCTACCTGTAACGATGGTAAATATTTATGACACATTTTTATGAAAAGTTTACACACCTTCAATGTACTCTACTCAAAAGTAATGAGCTTAATTAAATGTATTCTCAGAGGAACTGATTTATTCTAATGCAATATCCAAAAATCAGGTTAAAGATTTTATATCATTCTCATTGTTATAAAACAATTTTAAGTGGTTCCAGTGAGATTACAAGTTGCTTAATACTCTGTTCCTGTACACAGCCTGTGGTTTTGGAAAATGGGGAATAAACTGCTCCATGTTGTGTAGTTCACATTGTGGGAGAGATAAATCTTGTGACCCAGTAAATGGTACATGCAACAGAGGTTGTGGTGATGGGTATAGGGCTGGTAAGTAGATCAATAAACAGTTCTATTGCTCATGCAGGTTTTATTGAGCCGTAGAACTGGTTGGTGACCTACTTACCAGTCCTATACAGGAGCACATTGTTATCAAGGTAAAACAAATAAAAACAAGAACTTTGGTATTAACATACCAATTGTAATAAGTATACCAAATTGATTCCACGATCTAATATATATATATATATATATATATATATATATATATATATATATATATCATTATATATCTATGTATATTAAACAAAATTTAAGATTTAAGAATTTTAACATCAAATGTGTTAAAGAAAGCTAGTATGTTTTGACTTTCGTTTAGAAAGTAACTATTTACTTATTTAAAGCTGTCCACGGTAAAATGTATTTCGATGCATTTGCAAATGGTTAAACGTTTCAAATCTTTCGTTTCGTATTCCCAACGTTACTTTAAAAAGTTCCGGTTGCGTTTTGTTTCGTGTAATATGGCAGTGCAATCAAAGGGTAAGCGATTTTATTTTTAAATTTAAATTATTTTTTTTATTGAAGAAACATAAAACAAAGATTATTTCTATATATTACAAATCACAAGTAAACATGAAACCCCTAGATTATTTTGTGTTTTACAGGTCCAAACGTTATACGAAGGTAGTTGACGCTTTCTTTTTTTGTTACAAAACTTAAGTGATAGATAAGTGACACCATTTACAAATATAATATTAATCTAAAACAAAGAGAGTAATTTTAGACATTAGACATTCAATCATTAGGGTAACATTGTAAAGTAAGATCCATGGATATTTATTCACTAGGAACTCAAATATAATTTGCTAAAATAATGGATCGGGGGAAATTTTGCGTTCACTTCCAGCAATTTTTTTCTCGCCATGCCACAAATATTTTACTATTTGACCGGCTGTCTACCAGCGAATGTGAAGAACAGTTCATGTTGTTACAGCTGGTGGAACCATCTTATTTAATTTATGAGAGAACTGCAGTGCCTTTTGCCGAGGCTTAGCGAGGGGGGGGGGGTTCGGACCGCACCGGGTGACACCATTTAGGGGGGTGACACAAAGGCAAAAAATAGCAAAATATATAGAGAAAAACTTGAGGGGGGGGTGCAAATCGAATTTTTGAAAGTTTGTCCCCGGGAAGGGTCGCTACGCCTCTGGGGGTGACACCATTAAGTGCCGCACCGGGTGACACCCGACCTCGCTACGCCACTGGCCTTTCGATTGAAGCACATTCGGTAGTTCCTAAGTACACCGTGCGAATATCTTTTCTAATACACAGCATACAACACTCCATTCATCATAGTTGGTACACACACCGTGGGGCATCTATTCAGTAATTCATAACTATTTTTAACAAACGGGAAATCTAAACTTCTTTAGCTGGCCTAGAACACGTATAAAATTAGATGATATAAAAACTTAGACTTAGACTTGGGTTAGGGTTAGGGTTAGGGTCAAACATCACCTTTCGCTGAAGAAGTTGGCAACTAATTTAGTTTAAACTGACCAAGCTGTTAAATTGACTGGATTGAGATAACACTATTCCTGGTTAAGGTTAGTATTGTGTGTATCAAACAATACTGGTTAACAACCTCCAAGAACATATAGAGATAAATAAGTAAATAAACAAGTACACAATTTGTATTCTATTTTATTATTTCAGACCATACATCATCATGAGGTTGAGAATCTTCGGTTATAAATGGCCACCACTGTTAATCACGCTTTTCTTTTCATTTATTGGACTTTCTGGAACGTTTTTTCATTGCTGCTTTAATAATGTATATATATATATATATATATATATATATATATATATATATATATATATATATAGCGATATATCCCAAACTGGATGTTTACCTATGACTTACCAATTTATATTTGGTTTCTTTCCTACAGTTTACTACGTGAGGACATTTAAATCTCCCATTAAAGGGTAAGGGGGGGGGGGGGTGGGGCGTGAATATAGTTTGTTTATGTGTGAGTGCTCTAGCGTTGGTGTGAAAAGGGGGAGGGGTGCAGTGCTCTCTGGAGGATGTCTGAAAGAAGCATTCGTGAATTTATAAACATTCGTAAGGAAAAAAAATGGCAACAAATAGAAATACAACAAAATAACCTTAATTACTTGTACGATAATAAAACTAGTAAGTGAAGTAAAACAAATCGTCCAGCAAAAGTTAAATTCGTTCCAAAACACTTTATACACATATACATGTTTTATTACACATTGTAAGTTAACAGCATATATGAGAACATGTCTCTTTGAGTGGGCAAATGCTTCATGGCTCTTACATTTTAAGATCGATCAATGAAATCAATAAAATAGTGTTTTGTGTGTATACATATTTTGGTGTGCTGAACTAGGTCAGCTACTTTTAGATTGACACATTTCACAAGGAAGTATTTTACGTGTGCTATTTGACAGATAATACTATAGGTGTGCTAGTAAACACTGATGATGTCTTAATACGTAATGATATCGGAGGTAAGATTATATCAAATAAATAAAATTTAAAAAAAAAAGATCGAAACTTAAGTCGAAATAGAATACAATTATTTGTAGACCATTTTATGTTAGCATTTATAACCTATGTACACGAAAACGCTTTAAAAGTAGGCAAGCAATCTTTACTTATTCTGATTACGTTCGTTGTTAGATGAAACGAGAGTTACTTGTAAAGGTATAGTTTGAATGATAGTGGCTAAATAACTTGTGGTTTATCATTGTTTACATTATGCTTTTTTGGGTCATTAGCATGAAATAACACATTTTCCTGATTCTAGTTTTTTCTAAAATTACTACAGAATGTTCCTTTTTAACGGTTTATTTTCGAAAGTGGGTTTAGGGATTTGTTATACTATATATGTGTTTTTAGTCAACAATATTTTTATGTAACGCTATGTAGGTTGGGCTATTTGGTGAAATTAAAGGTTTTATGTCATCATTATAAATATACATAAAACGAAAATTTAACACTACTTTCATTTTAATATTGAGTTGTGTTCTGAAAAGGTAGGTCTACCAATGCAATCAACGGTTTCTTAAAGACAAGAAATTTAATCGTAGCTAAAAATTTCTGAAACTATCAAATAATATTAGCATTAATTAGCAATCAAGCTAACGGTATCTAATTCAAGTTCTGTATTATTTCAGACGTTTCGTCAACATGAAGCATCGAAGATTCTACAATAGTTGGTTTTCACTCATTGTTTTTCTTTGTCTATCATTTGGAATATGTGGTATAATTTCATTTCATTTTAATTTAATTTTTTTTTTTATTTTTAACGGTTCACGTATAATTTCATAATTAGAATCAATCGTTTACAAAATAACTAGCGTCCTTGTGGTCATCAGGTAATATACTAAATTAAGTTGTTTTGCAAGTGTGTACTTCTATTGATTTGTATATTAAGGTTTTTTTTTAAATATCACAAAATGGTTGCGTTACTTTTACATGAACATTGAAATAACGTTATTTTTGTTTGTTTTTACTAAGTTTTATAATACAAATCACCTGTTATACAGCCAGAGCCAACCAGTTGTTTGGCAGCAACCAACAGTTTCTGTGTCGATGTACCGACAACAAATGTTTACCTGATGGAACTTGTGCTGATGGTGCCAGTTGTTTAAGTGAATGGTTTGGTCCGTCTTGTCAATATCGTGAGTAAAATATGTTTTTGGACACGGAATCACCGTTGGCATTTACTTTGTCACAATTTTTTTAACTTAACATAAAATTGCCTATTTCGTTTAGATTTCATCCACTTTGAAGAAGCAGTTAAAAGTTTAAATAAGCATATTTTAAAAATGTATTAAAATTGTTATTTTCACTTTAAATTAAAAATTTCACATGATAAATATATTTCAAACTGCTACTGCTTTATTTTTACACTTATCAGTTTACTAATAAAATTTACTTATTCATGACTGAAAAATGTAGTTTTTGTTTAATACAAGAGGTCTTTTTTTTACATTTCTTAGAGAATCTTGTCACAGTTTACACAGCAAAACTGACACCAGATAATGCTTTATTAAGTGTGACAGACGACAGCCAATGCAACATCAACTCTAGCACGACATACCTTACAGTGACTTGGAACGTTTCGAATCCGTTCACATTTCTTTGGCTACGTTTTTACACAAAAGGTTACTTTATTATTTCGTAATTGATACATTTCTTTGCATTTCATAAAAAACTTTAATGGCTAGGCTTGGATAAAATATTAACTAAACGCTTTATAAACATGGAAAACAAAGGCGGCTGGGCGTTTAGCTGACCATACTAGCCCTTCATATTCTGAGGTGATTGAAACAGATGAACTCAATGTCATCTACCCCATGTGTCTTGGACACAAACGGGAAAAACCTATCTAATTGTAAAACACAATACATATTGCGAATTATTCTTGTTATTTCCCGCTCCATCGATTCGTTTTTATATTTTCTATGATCGTCAATGAAACTTAGATAACATCTACAGACTCAAAATAATTATTTCATTATTATTATTTTTCTAATTACAGTAAATAAAACGAATCTAAGGATGTCTATCGTAATAAATAATAAAAAACTGGAACCGTTACAAGTTTATACAATAAGTAACTGGACTATAGAGATACGTAGTCCTAATATTTCTATGATGAGCAGCATAAATATAACCAGCGACCATTTTCAAGATTTATGTTCAGTCTATGTTACTGGGGGTGAGTCTAAATAAACTTTCAGTTTATTTAATGTTTTGTGATTTAGCAAATTGATTAAAACATTTCAAAAGAGACAATAATACTTTAGTATTTATAATATGTACGACTTTGTATACTAGGAAACTGCATTATCAATACACGTAATCAAATGTATGTTAATACACATTTTATCAAAAATAAATTAATTGAATCAATTTAACCTCAAATGTCTCAAAGTTATTTCATTGACATTACGTACCCGCAGGTCGAAATATAGCACTAAAACAAACTGCTACTCAAGATAGTTATTTTGCTGGGGTACGACCAAGCAACGCTATAGATGGAAACAGAAATCATGACTGGTTTGGTGAGTCATGTATCCACAGTGCTGAAACAAAAATGTACCACTACTGGACGGTACGGTTTGACAAAGAATATTTGGTCAACAGATACGTCTTGTACGGCAGATATAACGTACTATCTGACAGCCGTAAGTGACGTTATATTTTTTTTAAATTTTAATTATGTTGTAACTACCATCACTACGGTGATAGAACCTTAGTGAAGTATCTTTCAGACCAAATTCATAATGCCAGATGAAGTAGACTAAAAAACTTTGACGTCAACGTTTTTGGAAAGAGCGGATGGTAAACAGCTACACTTGTTTTACCAGACTCAGTCAGGAACCGGAACTAGAAAAAAAGGGCCACCCCGCAAAAAATATTGTTGGGCCACCCATATATATATATATATATATATATATATATATATATATATATATATATATATATATATATATATATATATATAAATAAAAATATAAATAAATAAATATATATATATATATATATATATATATATATATATATATATATATATATATATATATATATATATATATACACAAATACAAATACAAAATACAAACATACGATACTCACATCTGGCCTGATCAAGTTTGCGAAATTCCTAGCTGTACATTCTACACTTCTCACATTTTAACATACACTAGTCATTCGCTACTTGTAAGGCTAAGAGCGGGGACCGAGGAGGGTAGGCATTGGTAAAATTATATATTTTCATTATAAAAATTGTATTTCGTTCAAGGGGAGGGGGTGGACATTAGACGTTATTCAACGGGTGGTGGGAGGGGGGGGAGGGAGTATCGATGAAGTCATTATTATTGTGTAATTTTTTCGGCAATGGCTTTTTAATTCTATGTTTACTCTAGAATCAATGACGTTATTTTACTGTGCATAATTTTCAGGCTTTATAACTGTACATATTTCTTTCGTTTTGAAAACAAACTTCCTACATGTTCCATGTGACGTCACAATCTTTAAATAAGCCTCTTTTGAATTTCCTTGAGTTTTCTCTAGAGTGTTCCCGACAGACAGAAAGACAGACATACAGAATAGCATAACTATTATTATAGATATAAAGAAATAAATTAATCTTATCATTTTAGTGCATACTTATAGAAAAACTTGTTGTTAAAACGTTTTAAATGATTCTTTATTACTTCCTCGTATTTACAAAATATAGAGAAAGTCTTGTAATCGTGCAAAAAAAAATCAAGATTTTTGCAAAACTCGACGTTTACACCTCCCTTCGTCGGAAAAACAGAGTTTTGCAATCTTGTCTGTATGTCTGTGTGTGTATGTGTGTGTGTGTGTGTGTGTGTGTAAACACGATAACTTGAGTACCGTTACAGCTAGGTTGAGGAAATTTCGTATATATGTCTAATATAAAAATCGTAGATCTGTTTCAACTTTTGAGCGATTTCCGATAACCGGAAGTGGATTTTTTTCTACTTTGAATTTTTCTAATCCTATAACTTGAGTAATGTTTCAGATAGATAAATGAAATTTCACATGTAAGTAATTTCTGTTGAACGTAAGTAGTAATTTACGCTATTTCCGATATCTCAAAAAACGCATGTGAATTTACAAAGTACTAATAATATTCCGCACCATGATGCACATTTGATTAGGCGTTCACTTGGCATGCAATAATTTTTTTACGAGATTCTATTCTATTTTCAGAAGTTTAAGTATTTAAAATGGATTAAAACCATGTCTATATCCCGAGTAGCCATCTCCCGTAGTGTAATATAAGAATATTCGAGAAAGTTTAGGGGAGATCACTCCCGGTTTACTTTTTTTTTCAATCGTGAACGTTATTATACAACAATTAAATACAGTTAGAAGCTTAAAGGACACTTAACACGATGTACAAAACTTGAAGGCAATACGCGGACCTCACTCAATTGTACCGAAGGTTATAAAAAACGTAACAACGGAACACATTGCAATTACGTTTGTTTTGTTTTGTTAAAGTAACATTATTTCATTAAATTGTTTATGAGGTTGTGCAGATTAGACACATGTTCCTTATTTTTTCAATGAAAGCATATAATGTTTGCTGCTTGGATCGTCTCCAACACTTCACCTTGGTAAGCAGGGATGTCAATGGTCAAACAGTTCTAACTTACACAGAAAATGGAAATTTACAACAGTTAACTTACACTGTAACATCTGATAAACTCAACGTGTCAAGTGTTACAGTATCGCAGGCTAATAACATTCTCAACTTTTGTGAATTTGAAGCTTATGGAGGTAAGAATAGATTAGTTGCATTGCATACATTTTATCCGTCACTTTTTTACTTTATCGTATATACGAAGTATAGAGAAAGTCTTGTAATCGTGCACAAAAAATCGAGATTTTTGCAAATCTCGACGTTTTACACCTCATGGATACGGAAAAACATAATTTTGCAATCTTGTCCGTATGTCTGTGTGTGTATGCATGTGTCAGTGTGTGTGTAAACACGATAACTTGAGTACCGTTACAGCCAGGTTGATAAAATTTCACATATAAGTATTTTATCAGAATCGTAGATCCGTATCAACTTTTGATCGATTTCCGATAACCGGAAGTGGTACTTTTTCTACTTGAATTATTCAAAAGCCTATAACTTGAGTACTATTTCAGATAGATAAATGAAATTTCATATGTAAGTAAAAGATCTAATTCTCTACCTTCTGTCGAATTTCAGTAATTTTCGTTGACCGGAAGTACTAATTTACGCTATTTTTGATTTCTCAAAAAGGCATGTAAATTTATAAAATACTAATAATATTGCGCACTTTTCTGCACATTTTATTTGGCGTTCACCTGGTGTGCAATTCTTTTTTCTACGAAATTTTATTCTATTTTAAAAACTTCAAGTATTTAAAATAGAGTTCCCATCCCCTGTTGTTTTATATAAGAATATCCGAGAAATCCGGAGATCCCGGTTTTTTCTGTCAAATTGCATTGCGCCACATGGTGTTGGCAGTTCGGCAATAGGTAACCTACGGTCTTCACCCTCTGTGACTTTTGAGTTAGCAAGAAGTGTGCGTTCTTCCTTTTTGATTCAATCCCGGCGGGATCTGAGTCAACGAGCCCATACTTCACTAACACATCTCGCATCCGTCATGCAGAAGTAAGACAGATAAAAATGACGACAAATATAACTCAACTTACCCATTCCAATAATACTTTTTGAATTATTCCTAATGGGTTATATAACTCTAATTAACTGTTAGTAAACTACCAGTTGTTGTTTTTTGTCTTTGTCAATCAAGTAAATCATTAAACACATGTTTGCTTTTTCTCTTTTCTCTATTTTACGGTTTTAAAAAACGTACTTAGGAGAAACTTTCAAACACAATCTTACATAACGTTACCGGTTCCAATTGATTGAAACGTGTCACTCGGGTCATTTTATTCTGAATAATATTTAATCAGGATACAATTAATAAATATATGTTCACATTTTATTAAACTAGTTTTTTCCAATTTTTCTTATTACTTTCACCAAATATCAACAGACTCGCTGTGCCCACCCGGTAAATTTGGCCTAGAATGTAACAAAGACTGTCGATGTAGAAATGACGAGCCCTGCTTTACAGACACAGGAACTTGTTCTTCAGGATGTGCTGCAGGTTATACAGGGATGGGATGTCTCACACGTACGTTGGTTGAAATGTGTTGTTGCCCATATCACATAATTACTACTAAAATACAATAGAAAAATAAATATATTTATATGTGCAATTTAACACGCAATACGTAATAAAACGTTTTCATCTGTGCGATCGCAGCTAAAGTTAATGTTGCCACATGGTATGTTATGTCCTTATTAATTTTATGATTTAGAATTTAGTGCATGAAAAATGTTAATATTCTCACGTTATGCCAATCCAGCTCTAAAACATAATTATAAGATGAATAAATAAACCGGGAGTGATCTCCCCTAAACTTTCTCGAATATTCTTATATAAAACAACATTGGATGGGAACTCGGGCTATAGACATGATTTTTAATCCATTTTAAATACTTAAAGTTTTAAAAATAGAATAAAATCTCGTAGACAAAAGAAGTGCACACCAAGTGAACGCCAAATAAAAAAGTGCATAATAGTGCGCAATAGTATTAGTACTTTAAAAATTTACATTAGTTTTTTTGAGAAATCGGAAATAGCGTAAATTACTACTTCCGGTCAACGGAAATTACTCAAAATTTAACAGAAGGTAGAGAATTAGATCTTTTACTTACATGTGAAATTTCATTTATCTATCTGAAATAATCGTCAAGTTATAGGCTTTTGAAAAATTCAAAGTAGAAAAAGTACCACTTCCGGTTATCGGAAATCGCTCAAAAGTTGATACGGATCTACGATTTTGATAAAATACTTATATATGAAATTTCATCAACCTAGCTGTAACGGTACTCAAGTTATCGTGTTTACACACGGACAGACACACACACAGACATACGGACAGAATTGCAAAGCCCAGTTTTTCAGACTGGACTACGCATAAAACCTCTTAATTTTGATAAATCTGGATTGATAATTTTTGCCCGATTAAAACAAGTCCTCTATACTTCGGATGTGATGAAGGACTGAGGTGTAATACGGTAAAAATTGTTAAAATTTCAATTGATTTTTGTGCAAGATTACAATACTTTCTCTATACTCCGTATATACGAGAAAGTAAAAAAAGGTAAGGATTAGAGGAAACTGGAAAACATTATTGGAGCTGTTAAGTTTTATAAAATACTAGCGTACCCGACCCCGGCGCGTTGCCGCGGGGATAGAAGAAAGTTTGACGAAATATATTAGAAGGATTTCACCAACGCGTTATCAATTATAATTATATGTTTTTAGACGCGTGACCTTCTTTTCTAAAATGAGTTATTTAAATGTAAACAGTGCCTGTTCTTGGATCATAAATATCAGGACACGGGTTTGTTAACGGTAATATGATAAATGTAGTAATATTGGTAGCGTATGAATTGTAATAATCAGTAAAAGGCTGGTATTCAACCGGTAGGAGGGTCTGTACCGCTTCTTTACCGGGAATATAGATTCTAGTATAGTTTTACTAGAGGTAATATCATAAAGGTCTGATGACTAAGGGTCACATCAATGCCCAAAGTTTACAGCCTTATTAGAATAATAATTTCTTACCAGGTCCGATGACCTCTTGTCTCTGGCAAGGGTTTACGGCCGGTGAATAAAATAAAATAGCAGGTCCGATGACTACGGGTCAACTCAATGCCCGCAGTTTACGGCCGGTAGTAAAATAAACTGAGGCTGCGTATAATATAATATCTACTGCTCCGTGGCTGATAGGCCTACGTGTGCAGGACAAAAGTAGTACAAAAGTAACTGAAATGTCTACTCAACTGCCACGTGGAATTACGTCACAGGCAGGAATAGTTTAGGTCAAATAAGTATTCAAATGCCCTGTGTGCTAAGACACGGACAGTTAAGTAAATCAGCTAAGTTAGGTAAGTTCTCGACTGTCACATGGACTAAGCCGTGTACAGTAACAGTATGTATATGTAAATAATAATGCATAACAGCAAGATAATATATATGATATTTATTGAACTACTTGTTACAATGGTAATCAAATATGTATATCAAAACTGGTAAAGTGAAAATAAGAAATAATTAAGTAAAACCAAACCCAAAACACGTGGAGGTCGGGCCGACGGCCCCAACGCCGCGTGCGACACCACCAGCTGAGCTCAGTGCTGGAAGAGTGCGAGATGTCTTTGTTGCATCCCCTTATATTCATTAAAACATTGGCGGTGTGTCACGTGGACAATCTAGCCAACTAGAGAGGGGTCTGTGAGGGGGACGAAATATATGGATGTACGTAGCAGTAGAGAGGGGCGGGGAGTAATAGCGCAGGTAGAGGGTGGTGGAAGAATAAAATGGAGCTAGCCTAAACGGTTTTACCGTCACAGGGTTTACCTCCACTACCGCATGAAAACCTTGAGTGTACATTAATAACTCACCGAAATAATATGGTACAACACTTCGGTGACCGCCTCTGTGTCAGAGACGTAGAGGGGCGCTCTCAGGGCCCCCACCCCCCGATTACACTACCGCATAGGCGCAGCGTTCGACCCCTAGCTTCTTAAAACTAACAGGCGCCATCGGCCAGAAAGCATCCTGTAAATAATGATGCAGATTTCGTCATTCGCTAAAGTGACACAAATGAAGAGGTTATTTTTCTTTAACACGTAAAAAAATTATCTGACGTGTTTTAAATATCAGTGTGACTGATGCAATATGCTAGCGTTACTAATGGTCTATTATTAGATGCTCGATCTCAATTTGTGACTGGATTGTCTAATAATAGATGCTTATTGCATCATTCGCAAAGTGACAAAACTCTACAGTAGGCTCCTCATTTTCAAAAAGTTATTTTTTCATCTTTCGCAAGGTGACGAAACTGTGCAGAAGGATTTCCTCGAGTTACAAAGTTATTTTTAGAAGCCTGTTGTAGTTTTACCGCTGAATATAGTAGTACTCCTTACTCGCTATGCAGAACGCTCGATTAACGGATGCCAAGTGCCAACTTAGTCGCTCTAAAACTTTGGGCGCCAAACCGTGTATTGACGAAAGTTGTACCCTATATGTCGCCGCCCGTAAGAAACTTTAGTTTTCCTTTTCGCAGAAATATTCTCGGGAGTATTCTCATCTATTCCCTAAAGTTTCATGAACCGCATACGAGTTTTATTTTTTATATACCGTGTATAGAGAAAAAAATCGCTCCCCCCTCCCCGGGGGGGCGCCGCCCTTGCGATATTAAACAATATTTTTTTTGCAGAACCCTACCATTGAGTGATCTAATCATCTCCCCGAAGTTTCATGGTACACGGATGAACGGTGTGAAACCGAAATTTTATAAACCGTATATAGAGAAAAATCGCAGCCGCCCGTTGCGCCGCCCTTGTGAAATTAAAAAAGGATTTTTTTACAGAAACCTTCCCTGAATTGTTCTAATTAACTCCCCCAAAGTCTCATGGCTATCGGATAACGGTGTCACACCAAAATCGACTTATTTTTATAAACCTTAAATACAAAAATCGCACCCTCCCGTGGCGCCGCCCTTGCGAAATTAAAAATGATTTTTTACAGAACCCTTCCCTAGAGTTTTATAGAGTTTTATAATGAACTCCCCAAAGTTTCATGCCTATCGGATGAACGGTGTGAAACCGAAATAGACTTTTATTTTTAAAAACCGTATATAGAGAAAAATCGCAGCCTCCCGTTGCGCCGCCCTTGCGAAATTAAAAGTATTTTTTACAGAACCCTTCCTTAGAGTTTTATAATGAACTCCCCAAAGTTTCATGCCTATCGGATGAACGGTGTCACTGCAATTCACTTTTATTATTTTTATATATCGTATATAGAGAAAAATCGGACCCTCCCGTGGCGCCGCCCTTGCGAAATTAAAAATGATTGTTTTAAAGAACCCTTCCCTAGAGTAGTATAATGAACTCTCCAAAGTCTCATGGCTATCGGATGAACGATGCCAAACCAAAATCAACTTTTATTTTTTAATATACCGTATATAGAAAAAAAAACAAATCGCGCCCTGTCGGGGCGCCACCCCTGCGAACTTGAATTTTTTTTTCGCAGAAACCTCCCCAGGAATATTCTCAACCACTTCCCAACGTTTCACGGCGATGTGATGAGAGGTGTAGTAATGCATAAAGGACAGACAGACAGACAAACAGACACACAAACATACATTGCTTTATATATATAGATTAAAAAGAACTATTTATGTTTTGTCAGTGATGGATACATGACGGGGAGGAGGGGTTGAAAGAACCCTAGGCCCCCTGATTTTTGCGGCCCCAAAATAAACCTTATTCTTCAAAACATAAGCTTATTTTTATAATACGTAATTACAAACACGAATAAATATAAAAATGCTAAAATAAATTATATTGATGTCTCAAGCCGTGTACAAACATGTAAACCATGTAGTATGAATTGCAGCTATATTTGGTTTATGTTGAACCACCGTTAATTTCAAGTGATCTATATTTTAAAAAAAATGTGTGCTTGGTATAATTTAATATTGAATAAAGGCCTCTTATCTATATCCAATACCGTCGTTCCTTACAGCATGTACTCGTGGGACATGGGATGTAGACTGCTCCAACACCTGCAGCATTAACTGTCTAGATATGACGTCATGTGACTCTACAACAGGGACCTGTGTTGGGGGATGTGTGGCTGGCTTTAAAACACCTACATGTAATGATGGTAAGACATTAGATACATGAATAAAACTATTTAAATGTTAGGGCTTGTAAATGTCTACTAAAGCACGTAGTAGCAGTAAGTTTAATTTATATAGCCTATATAATATAGCATTTCTTTTAAAGATTGTGATTTTGGAACATGGGGAATCAACTGCTCCATGTCGTGTAGTTCACATTGTGGGAGAGATAAATCTTGTGACCCAATAAATGGTACATGTATCAATGGTTGTGTTGAGGGGTATATTGGAGACATGTGTGAGCAAGGTAATTTTTGGTCTACTTTAAATCTAAAACATTGTGTTTAAACCTTAACAAAAGTAAATGTGTAATAACTTTTGAGATCATAAACTAATATCCTCTCTTTTTAAAGAATTTATGGAATTCTTTTCAGAATGTGAACAAGGAAGATGGGGTAATAATTGCCTAAACAACTGCAGTAGATATTGTATAGACCCTTCACATTGTGATGTCACAAGCGGTTCATGTACTGGTGGATGTGTTGCTGGCTATAAGCCGACATGTGAACACGGTCAGTTGTGGAGCTTTAATATTGACGCATGTTTAAAATTATATCATTTAAAGTTAAAGTGTTTACAAAATAATCATTTGGTATCTATGATTAAGACCTAAATTGTCGTTAGGAAATTCAAAATGTTTGTCTTGGAATTGGCATCAAAGCTTCACAATTGGTTGTCTTAAAGATTAAACTTTGGAATCTCTATACTTAGTCATGTGCTTCAAACATTATAATAAAATATAATAAAATATGTACCTTATAAAATTATAATTTACAATCTATTACGGTCTTTATATGATCAAGGTTATTTTAAAATATACAGTTGTGCCATTAAAACCTAATTTCAGACGTTTAATAAAAAGTATGAGAATGTTTTTTTTTACTTTCTAGTGTAATGAGTATAGAGCGTACTATTGTAATCGTGCAAAAATCAAATTTGTTGTTTATAAGTCTTGACTTTCTCTATAAACTGTGTAGATTTCAAACGTAAAAACAGCAAAGGATTTTGATTCAAATTTGACAGTAACTTTTAATAAAACCTGTGTGAAAAAAATAATTTAGTTTATCTCTAAAGAGTGTTGTTAATGGCTAATTCATATTTTTTTAACTTGTTGAGAATTTCTCATCGTTTTTTTTAACAAAACAAAAAAGAATAGTCATAGTAGAATTATGGATACATGTTACATTCAATGGCGTCATCTAAAAAGACGTCACGCTTTTTAAAAGATAGTTTAACCTCCCACCTCCTCTCTTATCATGCTCACACGTCGTCACAAAAAGGGAGACCACTGCCAGCCATAAATGACGTAATAACTCATCATACCACCTCACTCAATTCAGCTGAGGTAGATCATCACTGACTATTTTTATAAATGTGTTATACAATTTATAAAAATAAATATTCTGAAACACAAAATTTCATTTTCTAAATTTACTTTCTAAAATGCAAAGGTTTTTCTTCAAGCTTTACGAACCTAACTTACCCCCCCCCCCCATCCCCCTCTTCCCTTCTGTCACACATCATTACGGTAGTCCGACTTTATCTCCCCATTAGGCGGGTGATCTAGTTTATTGACGAACCCTAGGGAACATCTGCGTTACATTTGATATCCACTTTTGTTTAGGGTAATGGCTAAATCGAAACAACCCCTACCAACCTTCTCTCCAAAATTAAGGACCTTAAGGTAATTTAAGTACGAAATTCCAATACTTTAAGTTGGAAAAATTGGCACTAACATGTACATAAATGCCTTATTTATTTGAATGTTGAATGCAGTTGTTATTTGTTTTATTTTTTAAAAATATGTTTAAATTTGCAATTTTAAATTGATTGTCAATTATACAAACAGTTCAACTTAGTTAATTTTTATGTATGTAACATTTGTATCAATGCTTGAACACACTTTTATTTTAAGATTACGAATATTGTTTTATTCTGCAGAGACGATTAAAAGCGGTGAAAGTGATGACTCTAAAGCTACTGGGATTGGTGTTGGCATTGGAATAGGAATCGGTATAGGAGTTGTGATCACATCTGTTATATTTGTACTTGCTACAGCCATTTTGTACCACCGTGGGATGTTGTCTCTATGTAGAAGGTTAAGCCAGAAGGAAGACATAACGGAAAAGGAACCACGTAGAAATGATCGCACAGGTAAAATACACACACAAAAACATACACAAATACACACACAAATACACACACATACACACACGAAAGCACTGGAACACACATACTATTATTGATTTCATTGTTTATTTTAGGTTGCAGTCTTTTCTTGGCAAAGATTATATTTCACATGGAATTTTATCCAAAATTTATTAATACTTAATAAACTATAAGTTAAATGTATTTCTAATTATATTATAACCATAATTATATTATATTCAAGAAAATTACTTTATTAAACTGGTTAAACAGTTACATTTCCAGAGTACAATAGCGCTTACAGTGATGTGGAGGATACCGAAGCTTCTGGCGTTCAGCGGTATCAAAATAACGCAAGTGTCGATGACAATCTACATGCATATGACGCCATCAATCTTGACGATATAGGCAAAAAGACAGAATATTTAGAATTTAAAGTCAAATAAGATGACAACTAGCGAAGGTCTAATTAAAAAGTTTGCTTACAAATCAATAATAAAACCAAAATATTTATAATCCAAATCAAATTTTGAACAGTGGTTCTTAATCTCTTTGGAGGTACCGGACCCCAACCAGTTTCATTTGCCATTCATCTAACACTTCTTCATTGGAAAAATAAAATATGCTTTTTCAAATTCAAAACATAGGTGTTTATTTTACTGGTGCACAATAAAAACTTCAAAATGGGATTGGTTACATGTCAGTTAGGGTAGATTAAAAATAGGCTAGAATAGTCTAGAACTAAGGGGAGTGTGCGTGTGTGAGTTGAGTTTATCCTTGTGTGTAGTTAACTACGGTGTGTTTATGTATGTTATCCCAAGTTCGAGTGAATACTCGAACTTGGGATAAAATACATAAACACACCGTATAAAAGTTGGGGTGAACGATTGTAACAGGGGTTAGTTGGTAGCGGTTAGGCAAGAGGGCGTGTTGTGTAAAGATAAAAAGGACAAGCCAAATACACGTTTAACATTGCCTACAAATGTGTTTGTTGGATGAGAGGTCGATCGTAATAGGCTTATTCACACAAAAACAAAAACATAAAAATGAATGTTTACAGGACGTCAGTGTGATTTCTGTGATTGACTTTCAGAAACCAGTCCAGAAATGTGCGGCTTCACCTTGAATTCAGCGAGTATTGTGTTCTTGTATTTTTCCAGCTCATGTTAAAAGAAAGTGTTCTCTACGTTTTGCTTGACTACCGCTTAACGAAAGCTTTGATGTGAGTTTAGGTAATCTAGCTTTGACCCAGCTTGACGATGTCGACATTCCTGATTGTTATCTTACATCGGCGCGTGACAAAACAGCTCATTGACAAATATCATCGACAAAATATCATCTCGAGAAAAAGAAATTAGAAGCTCGACAAATTGATATCAGAAAATAAAACTTTACCTCGGTTTATTTGAATAACAATATAAAATAACCTGTAAATACAATTGCCATCAGGGCTGTTTGGCGGTACTTGATGTATTGCAAAAGTGAGATATTTGAGAAAAGCTTATTGTGCAGCGAAAATTATATACAAAAAAATTCATTCAATTCAACATAGAGCTCAAACTATGGTGGATTTGTTTTAAAAAGTCATTTAATTACCGCAATCTATGAGCGCAAGGGACTGACTACAGGGCCTGATGTTCTGGTGTCATTTGATATACAGTCCAAGATACATAGATTAAATTGAGACTTTTGAAAGTTGTTTTTGTGATCACTTTTGGTGGGACTTGTGGTAAGGCGTAATATAAGAGATACTCAAAAATTGTAACACAAACTGACTGTAACACAAACTGACATTGTGAACCATAATGATACAGTTCCTATAAAAGAGTACATACTCTCTCCAAATACTGATATTCTTATTTCAATAATGTTCGCGCTCACACCGCTTGGAGATACTTATTGTAGTCTATGTCTTGGTTGGTTCATAACACTGATCTGAGGTTAACATATGTATGTTGGGCGTCATCAATTGCTTCATAAAAATCTTCACGTGTCTCACGCGATGAAGTGCTCACATTAGACACGACATCATCCACGGTTTCAGACGGTAGATTTTGAGATGGCTCTTCCTGTTTGTCTCCCTTGATTTTAATCGGTGATTGAGTTCTTGAACCTGCTTGGACCAGAGAATGATCATAGAGTACCAAGTCTAAACAAACCAGAGCAAGATCATAGCGTACCAAGTCTAAACAAACCAGCGCAAGATCATAGCGTACCAAGTCTAAACAAACAACAGAAAGATCATAGCGTACCAAGTCTAAACAAACCAGAAAAAGATCATAGCGTACCAAGTCTAAACAAATCAGAGAAAGATCATAGCGTACCAAGTCTAAACAAACCAGTGAAAGATTATAGCGTACCAAGTCTAAACAAACCACAGAAAGATCATAGCGTACCAAGTCTAAACAAATCAGAGAAAGATCATAGCGTACCAAGTCTAAACAAATCAGACAAAGATCATAGCGTACCAAGTCTAAACAAACCAGAGAAAGATCATAGCGTACCAAGTCTAAACAAACAACAGAAAGATCATAGCGTACCAAGTCTAAACAAACCAGAAAAAGATCATAGCGTACCAAGTCTAAACAAATCAGAGAAAGATCATAGCGTACCAAGTCTAAACAAACCAGTGAAAGATTATAGCGTACCAAGTCTAAACAAACCACAGAAAGATCATAGCGTACCAAGTCTAAACAAATCAGACAAAGATCGTAGCGTACCAAGTCTAAACAAACCAGAGAAAGATCATTGCGTACCAAGTCTAAAAAAACTGAATTTGTTGTGTTAATTTATGTTTGTGTGTGTAACTTTGTTGATATAACACATTTCAACTAAGATAATACTGAATGTAAGTAAATTAATTGGTAACATGTTTTAAAGTAATGATAAATGTAATCACACACAAGTGATACTTATCTTAAAAATATAAATTAATGATTAAGATATTCTAAAAAGAAATAAATTACAATAATATTTTGTTCTTTACAGCACTGAATTGAGGAAGAATTCTTACCTTTGTTTTTACATCGAGCTATTATCAATAGGCCTATAACAGCACACACAATAGTCATAGCAGTAACTGCAGAAGTCACATAAATCCATTTGATTGATACCAGTTCATTGCTCCCTAGAATAAGCCATATTAGATATGGTTAGGTTAGTTAAAGCAAATTAGAGCTTTTTTTCCAATAGTGAAACAAATGAAAGAAACTAAAATATACATAACATATCTTTTATCAATTTGACAACAGTGGATTTTCCATTTTTACATTTTATTTTATAGAAAATAATATTTCTCGAACTTTGGTTGCTTTTAATTTTTTTTTTTACTTTCTCGTATAGGGAGTATTGTAAAAAGTTATTGTAAGCCCTGATGTATCCAATTCGTTTAATTTATTTCTTACCCCAGTCACACGAGCCGTCTACACGATCACATGCGTCTTTGTGTAGGCAGTTCTCACTACAGAAGTTTCGACAGTCTACACCCCATCTTCCTTCACTACATTCTAATAAAATTATTTGTGTTAAATAAGTATCAAACCTGCAGTTGATATCGAGTAAAGATAAAAATAAATGGACAGAGTATATCGTTCTATATGTGGTTTTCAATAAATTGTTTAATTTTTTTCTTCTAATATGTTATAGAATTCATCAAGATAATGTCATCTAACTTTATTTATTGTCTGTGTACTTTTTTTTAACGTTAGCTACTACCAATAAAAAACAACTATTTTAGTTTTTTGAACCTTAGAATGACATTTTAAGCATCATTCAACATAGTGAAATCAATACTGAAAACAATACAAGACTCGAGGGCTGAATTAAAGTAGTTGTGTTACTGAGTTTACCTGTCTGACACCCTTCAAATGTGTAGCCTGGAGCACAGCCAGATGGACAGGTACCAGTGTCCACGTGACATTGTTCATTGTTGACACAGTTACATTCTTTAGTACAGTCTAGACCGTATTTGTTCTTTGGGCATATGTTGACTGGAGAATTATAGGCAACAATATTGAACAACTTGTACAGTTATACGTATCTTATTATTTAGAGAATATTGCATTTTTATTTTTCTTATTTTGTTAAATAATACACTTTATAATATTTTTTTTCAAATTAAACTACCGAGTTTTATCAGTTTTAGCTACATGTTATCAATACTCTAGTAAAAGCATATGCTAACCTCCATAAATCTCGGCCTCACAAAAATTAAAGTAGTCTACATCCAATGTGACCTTTACACTAGCAACATCACGTGATCCTGATACAACAGTGTGGACTAGTGCCAGTGTCTTAGGAGCCGTACATGTGAACACGTGGTCACCTTTGTTGTTCCAACTTGTTAGTGTAAACCCACTGATTCTTTCAGGACAGCAAGATTGGGCTAATTCAAAAGAAAATACAAAATCCACTGAATTATGTGAATTATTTTCAATCTTTATACAAAAGTATTTCTAGGCAGTTTGCAAAAAAATAATTCTACTAGGTCTGCCTGCATGCGATGCTAGAATAGACAATCACAATTACGGTACAAATACACAATACACTAAGTATACTGTATTAACAGAATTTATAATTTAAACTTTTAATTAATTAGTCAACCGTTTACAATAGCATATTAATAAAGTCTTATTTCTTAAATGAAAAAATACTTAGGTTCAATCGAATACATGAAAAACGACAGTCATGTTCTAATAATGGTACTATGCGTTTTTGTTTTTCGTTATTATAAACATTTTGCAGTACGAATATAGTTTAAGTAAAACTTCTTTGAACTTTAATGAATTATTTGTAAAAAATATACTCACGATCAGGCTTAAAATCCCACCTACTATATAAAACATATCTGTTGACACTGTATGCTTCACCACTGAAATTAACAGTCCAGTAATGAGGTGTTCCTTTTGATGTCTGTATTTCGGTATGGATACAAGAATCCCTGTACCAGAGACTGTCTCTATTACCATCTACAGCATTAGAAGCGTCAGAACGTCCAAGAAATACATCGTATGTACTGTCCTGTGTAGCATACTGTTTAACTGCTACATTCCTGCCTAGGTTTTAGTAATATGTTTTCACTTTATTTACTCTAAGTTTCATAAGTTACAAGATGTATCATTAAAATATTATTATATCTATATTTACCTCCACTGACGTAAATAGAGCAGATATTTCTTACATTTCCCCCTGTCAAAACTAGACGTGTCATATTTACTGTTGTCCGACATCTGAACTCAATCGTGTTCTGGCTGATGGTAGATTGATAGAGTGAATGGCAATAAGAATGTACATCACTGATCTCAACATTAACGCTGTTGTGAGAGATTTCATCTGGAAATAATTTATTTTACATAAAAACGGGAGCAGGTCACACACACACACACACCAACCCCCACCAACATTAATTAGGTTTAGGTTTTAGTTTTAGGTTTAGGGTTATGGTTAGTGTAAGGGTTCCGTTTCGGGTCGGGTTCGGGTCTGGTTTAGGCTTAGGATTAGCTTAGGGTTAACGAAAGGTTTAGGTTTAGGGTTAGAGCTAGTGTTAGTGTTTTTGTTAGTGTTAGTGTTAGGGAATAGGTAATGTTTCGGATT